TTCAATGGGGCTTTGGGTCTTTGTCAGGATGTACTGGTCTGAGAGTTTCACGGCTAGGGTTTCGTGTTTCGGGACCCTAACCCTGCAGTCTATTCCATGCATAAGCATCCTTAAGCCCTGAACCCTGGCCCCAAACCCTACGTTTCAGCCCTTTTGCGACGTGTGTTAGCTGTCCGGTGCGGTGGCATGTCTAGGCTCAGTGGTGCAGGGAATTCAAAGTTCGCCTCCTCGAGGGTTCTGGCTTTGAGGTTTACGCAATCGGGCCTATGCCTTGGGGCACAGAGCTGGTGGTGAAGATCGAAAAGTCTATGCTAGACCGAGCAGACCGAGTCGGCCTTTTTCTTCGGATGTCTTCGTAAGCGGAGCTTTGAGGCTCGCTCTCTAGGCGACCCAAGCCTCTTCTAAAGCTTTGAGGCCTTTCGAAGAGCAATGCTTCTTGCTACCCCTAGATGGGTCATCCTTCCGAAACGGCAGCGGCGGTCTTTCACTCGGCCGGCAGAGTCGCACAGTGTTAGGGTTTCTTGGGCATCTTCGGCACCTTTAAGTCGAGATCAGTGTTCATCGGAAAGTTCATGGCTGAGCAGGACACGGATCATCACAGAAAGGAGAGCATTCGCAAGAAGGATCGCAGCGTGAGGACCACGACCAGGTCACCGGGCTGCAGCAGGCGAGCTCAGACGAAGAGACGAACGAGCAATAATCCACTGAAATTCGTTGAAAGGGATACTTTATAGAGATCACCATGCTTAGACTCATTTTTTCTTGATGCAAGTCTGGGTGGTGAGGTGAATCTGCTCAGGCAGCCAAACCTGAATGGTGAAATGGCATCACACTTATCATGCAGCTAGATCGAGGACGATGGCAGGTTCTCAAATGCGAAAGCCCGCTTGCTCTGGATGGAGTGAGCCCAGTTTCATGCAGTTTCAAAGCACTTTGCGGATGATTCTGAAATTGAAACCGCATAGTAGGCGACGGCCTTCAGAGTTAAAGTGACTCGTATGGAACGGGCATTTAATGGCCAAGAGATTTTTTTCAGCAGCGGTCTGCAGTAGCTCTTGACAGCTTGATGGTAGGCTCTTAAGCCCTACACCCCCTAAAACCCTAGATCCTAAACCCCCCAGATCAGCCCTTGGAGGTCGTTCTCGCGGCCCTGGCGCAGACCGGCGATGCCATTGTATCGGCCTCCCAGCGATTGCAGGCAGAGCCAAACTCGAATCGGCACAGAATCGGAAGGAGGGCATGAGCTAGCATTCCTTTCAGTGTTCCTTAAGGGATCCTTGATGAATGGCTTTGAGGTACAAGGGCTGAGTGCGTGTATGGGCCAGTAGTTATAAACTGAGTTGTTGAGCACATGAAACACTAGCTATATGTTATATACTGACTAATAGCCGATACTGGAAGTATTTTTTCAAACCCCACATCACGTGCATGTACAGTTGGGGTGGTGAAAACATGTCCAGGCATCCTCTCTGCTCATGCTTCTTTTGGACCCTACCGCTGAAAGGATCATTCTCTAGACTCCAGAAAGCAACGGGAGACTGTGTGCAGTTGCTTTTGCTGTTTTTTGGCAGTTTAGGGTTCTCGGGGGTGCAGTACACTGAGGATGACACCTTCTGGTCAAAGTTGCCGGACTCAACACAGTTTTCTGTTCGCAGGCCGACAGGGAATTTCTGCTCCTGGCTGCAACTTGGTCAATCGTAGGGATTGTTTTTACGATGTGGACTGAGGATTCTTATGCTTTTGTCAGGAAGCCCATGCAAGATCAAAGGATGCTTTGTATATGGAGCCCATAAGAAGGATCCTTTGATAAAGAGCCCATGAACAATTACTAATTTCCTTTCTTCCCAAAACGTGACCAAGGTAAAGCTTCAGTCGGGCATACTGGACCTGGTCTCCCAAGAATTCCAGGAAAGATCTGCGGAGTTCTTGGTGGTTTCTGATGGGTGTTTGGAGAGGGAGGTTTGAGGGTTTGGGATTGATTCCGTCGTTATGCCCGTGTTTTCGGGTGTGGCCAGGTAATTATTGGGAACCCCTTCACGAGGAGAAACAGCCTTTCAAGTGTTTTTTATGCGCATAGGACGGCATAGCGAACTCGAGTGCCACCTCGGAGGCCGTCGATGCTTGCAGGATGAAATGCTGGCCCGGCTCAAGGGCCGTGATCCCGAGCTGGGCGATGATGCCTTTCCTCAGATCCCGGATCTCCTCCACGGGCGCGGAGACGATTTGCTTGAGGCCGGCGTGGTACGTCAGCTCGCGGGGCATGGCCTGGACCCCGGAGGGGATGCGGCCCCAAAGCCAGAGAACGCGGCGCTGCTTCACGGGGTCCCAGAAGTCTTTGGAGGCGTAACCGGCATACAAGTGTTTTTTTATGCGCATAAAAAACACTTGCAGTCGCAAACATCACAGTCCACAGCATTCGAAGGTGCACGTGCATGGTGATCGCAGCTCTTTTCGGAATCTCGAAGGCTGGCTTGAAAAGCCTCCCGTAGGCGAAACGCGTAGCCACACAGCCCGAGATCAGTGAAAAGGCTGAGTGCTTGCAGGCTTGAGTGTGCCATCCCTTTGTGTGGTTGTTCATATGGGAGTTTCCGAAATTAGGGGACCGTGAAACCATGCTCTAAATAGTACGATCCTTATCATAAGGACCCCAAAATAAGGTACCCCTAAGTTTCGGAAACTCCCATATGGATCCCTTTGACGGTATTGCTGGTCACGGATAGCCCTCGCCATGGTATACCACACGTTCATACATGCATGTCTGAATGAATGCATACGCACAGCTACACGTACACCTCAGCCTACACACGGGCACATATACCTTTACATGTACCTTCGATTTGTTACATATACAGAGACATTCACAGATACGAGCGCATATTGTATTCATCTACATATGCAAATACATATACATGAACATACGCATGCACATGTTATAATATTATAGACAATTCCTATATGCAGACAGATAAATAGACAGACAGAAAGACAGACAGGCCGATACACAGATCGTTCATGTCGCCACGTGTCTGTTCATGTCTTTTGTGTCGCACCCTGAAGAACACCCGCAAGGCGTAAATCCGGAGCGTGCCAGCTGACAGTCTTACAATCGGATTCGTTGGTTGTTTGCCACGGCAGGTTCAAAGTACATATGTATGTATGCATACGGCATACATACATATGTATATATATATATATATGTATATGTATATATGTGCGCACACATGGAATGTAATATGCCTACACACTCCTACTCCTATTCCATCTCTAGCAGCCTGAAGCCGGAGAAGTCACTGGGCAGAAGCGCTGTGAGGGACTTGGGGTGCAGTACTGTAGGGGTCATGAATTGTGCCTCAGGGGCTATCACTTGCTATAACTCGACCCTTGAATGCTGGCTCTGCCCATGCACGTAACACTACGAAGAAGGACAACACGGCAGGAGAGTAACCAGAAACTGACCGGAAATATTTAAACACTTAAAATCCTAAAAAAATTCAGTTTCGACCTTGAACATGGAATATCTCTTATGTTCCAGCGACCTGGCGAGCCTCCATGGGATCCCCAAACATACACTTCGGGCTAGCCCTGCGACACGGGGAGCCTCCATAGGAGGTCGCCGTCCGCATCTGGGAGTTTTCGAAAACAGGGGACACTAACAAAGTCATAGTACCCTCAATTCTAGGACCCTTATGATAAAGACCCCCAAATCAGGTACCCCCCAAATTTCGGAAACTCCCGTAGAATACTGTTCAGGTTTCAGGATTTGGAGTCTCAACTGCTCTAATGCCTAAACTCAAAACCCTGAATCTTGAGTTGATCCTTGTTGCATTAATGGGTTGCACAAACACAAGCACAAAAAAAGCACAACGGAATAGGGCCCAACTGATGGCGGACATGATTCATATGGAACCATGTCAGGGATGCAGTTCGAGGTTTAGGGGTTATGGTTTAAGGCTTAAGGTTTAGGGTTTAGGCTTGGGGTTGAGGGTTTAGGCTTTAGGATTTACTCACCCTAAACTCGACTAAACGACCGAAACCCTGGCTAGGAATTGACTGGCTTTTTGCCCCTCGTTGATCCATGCTCGAGCCTACTTGACTGCGGCGGCAGCTCACTTCAGAGATGCCATCCAAGCCAAAATCGAGCCTACCTAACTGCGGCACCTCACTCGAGAGATGCTGTCCAAGCCAAAATCGAGCCTACTTGACCGTGGCACCTCACTCGAGAGATGCCATCCAATTCAAAAGTGCCTTTGGCACATTGATGTTGATGCGGTTCAGGCCTTTCTGAAACCTTAGATGCATTGATTTCCACTGGGTTCGGTGACCGCGGCGGCCCCGTTAGGCAAGTGCTTCTGACTGCAGAAATGCAACTCGCGGATCGAAGCTGCGCGTGAGCGGACGTTCATACCCGGAAGCTTGTGGAGGATAAGGTTGACAGCATGAACCGAGGCACCTCAGTGATCCTAGCTAGGTGGCTTCTTATTATTGATATTGGAATTAAGGCTTGGGCACGTGGGCCGGGGTTTGATTAGGTTGATCACAGGACTACGGGACTACCTCAAATCATAGCAAAAAAAATTTTCGACCCGCTGCAGGCACAGCACAGTATGTTTTGATTGACTTTGCCTGCTCTTGGATTCCTTTGACGATCTTCAACTGGTCGCTGTTGACGATGCCAACAGTAGCCCATGCGCGAACTGCCTCATCGACGGATTTTGCGAACTGAAAGAACGAGTCCACATTCGTAGCCACCGCTTCGTGCGTGACCTTCTTGAACATGACCGTTTTGATGCGCTGCACATTCCTATGCTCCAACAGCTTCTCATAGTCCTCTGGGATCTGGGAGAATGCCGCTGCAAGAGGCCCGGATATGTTACTCATGGCCTTGGCATCGACAGGTCATGAAAATGATCGCACTTATTATTGATCATCCTAGGAACCTAGCGGCACAGGCACTGACTCAGTGGCACTGACAACATGCACACCGCCCATCGTGTCTTCATTTAAGCAGCTTCGAAAATCTGCTCTGCCATAAAGCACATCCAAGTGATCATACCCTTCTTGATGTTCTCGTCCAAAGAGTCGCATGCCTTCGCTGTTTCGTAAGCTTTCAACAAAGCTGATGCAGTGCCCAAGATGCGCTGGAAGCCTTCCACCTGAATCGGCGGAACCACGGTGTCTTCGGAGAGATTCGTCTCCCGCAAAGTCCACATGACAACGGAAGCCTTCAGCAACACTTGGTTTCGCACGTGCAGAACCTGCAGCTCCTTCATCTCATCAGGCTTCCCGAGGACTGCGGCTAGCGAGACCAAGCTGTCGAAAAGGAAACCCGATGATGAACCTGTTCCTTTCAGGATGCTCCAATCCACGCCCTTGCTGTCCACAGGCAGCATCACGCTGTCTTCAAGCTTCAGGCTCTTGTAGATTTCCGACTGGACAATCAGGTCCGAAGTGAAAGCTGCGGACAGAACGGACCACAACCCGGGGAGACACTTGGTCCTCACCTTCTTTACCAATTCCATAAAGACGGTCCCATCCTTAAGTCCTGCTTGCACAGCATGGCACGAGATCTCGTCCAGCTTCTCGCTTGTCTTGTTGCAGAACATCTTGACACTCCCCAGGAAGCTTGGCCTCGAGCAATTTTGATACATGCAGCCAGCGTCCGAGTTTGAGAACAAAGCTTGCCACGCATCCACGGTCCAACCCTCTGTAGGCATCGCTGCCCCTTCTATGGATTGGTTCATCAAATTGTAGAAAACCTCGATGATCTCCACCTCGGCCACTAGAGACTAGAGACTAGAGACTAGAAGGTCCAAGGAACAGTACTGAGTAATCGCTTCCCCTTGACACTCACCCCCTCCCCCACCCACCCCTAATTTTGAATATCCCCCGGCGAGGACTTTTGCGGTTTCGAGCCAGTAAATTCATAGAAATGACTTCTAGGGGGTAGCCAGGAGTGTATTTCTTTTACTAGGACGAGTACTATGGGTGGTACTACGGTACTATTCGGTACTATACTATGAGGACAGTACTATTCACATTCGTGCTACCAGGCTATCAGTGCTATCATACTACAAGACTAGAGGCTCTAGAGAAGGAATAGGAACAGGATGGAATAGGAACCACGGGTACCGGAGGTCACGACGATGATGAGCAGGACTTGTACTAGTACTCATAGGAGCAGGAGCGAGTGGTATCAGCAGTCCGCAGCAAATCTATTGCTACGATCAGCAGTACTAGCACTACGCGGAGTGATTTAGGTTTGGCAGGGTTTAAGGGTTGACGCAGGGATTTAAGGGAGGTTTAGGTTGGATCAAGGGTTTGGAGTGTATAGGCACAGGCTGTATAGGCTGTATAGATTTCTGTATAGCCATAGGCCAGGGCCATAGGCCATAGCCATATGGTCATCATATGGTTATAAGTTATAAGTTATAAGTTATATGCGGCATATGCGGTGTAAGTATATGTTCTGTTCAATAAAAAGGGCTCAGGGAGATTCTAGGCGGACATCAAACCTCAATATTTGGGCGGGAGGATCTCATGACCAGGCCTGAGTAGTTACTCAACCGGCTCCACGACAGCACAACTGTAGTTCGCGTAAAAATAACAGAGCAGACAGCATACACAAGTCAGGCACTGAGTCCCAGGCCATGTCCAGGAGATTGTCCAGCCGGGAACAGTTGTTCAGGAGATCAGGTGGCAGAACGCAGCCTGCCTCCTTCATGGAAGATAGGACAGGCCCTGGCCCACTGTCAGCCAAGAAGCCTGCAACCTTCCTTGCAAACGTCCGGCTCCACAGCCACTTCTCCTGTGTCAAACACAATGGGCCACCCTTGCTCAGGGAGCTCAAAGGAGTTTCGAAGAATTGGATGATGCGACCTATGCACGAGCTCAACAACTCATTGCTGAAGCGACAGATGCTGTCGCGGGCGGGGTCCGGAACAGAAACTGCCCCTGCTGCTGCATGGAACGTTCGGCACAACTGCTCACAGGACGCGAGGATTTGATTGAAGTTCTCATCATCGACTTCGATCTCTGCATTGGCAAGAAACGGTGCCAGGTCTGCAAGAGCCTTGTCAAGCTGGCCTTGGCATTCGATCAATGACGTCACTGCATCTGCTGTGGCTTTCAACTGGTCATTCTTACTGTGAGCCCTTTGCAAGATCTTCAGCCCCATGGAGTTGGAGTGAATCACCCTGTACAACAGGTCATCTGGATTGCTCGTCACTGCACACAAGCATGCATCCAACGTTGTTGAACGTGGTGGATCGAGAAGGCAAATGCTAGCCACGTGTAGGCTGGGCTCCCGCAGCTCTTCATGCTCCCTTTGCACGATCTTGTTGATGCACCTGGCCACATCCTTGGCAGCATTAGCCACCAACTGCTCCTCATCATTCTGCTCTTGTGTGAGGTCGCCTTCATGCGAACTCAATATTGTTCCCACGGCACGCTCCACTGCCTTGCTGCTTACCTTCGAGATGAAGTCCTGACCGATGCCTGCCAAGGCCTCTTCGGAGACGGCTTCTGCAACCTCATCCCAATTCTGTTTCTCGATGTGCTCGGCGATCACGGCCTGCCGCTAGGATTTCCGATCGTTTAGGTTGAACTACACTACAGCTTCCGGGTTTCTGTGCTTTTTAATTCGGGCTCTTGATTTTGTATTCTGAGAGCTTCGGCTTGCGGTTTGAAGACTTGGGGTGGGGTATCGGTATCTCGGTATCTAGGCATAGGCATAGGCTCTAGGCCCTAGGCTAAAGGAACGGCACCGTATGAGACCGTATAGGGTTAATAGGCTTTTGCACGGTACGTTACGTGTCTAGGAATTTACAATGGTTGATTAAGGCTAAGGTCTATATTTTTTTTATGTCGCATAACTGGTTAGTGGCTGCTACTGCTACTCATCATTTCAATGAAACCCTATGCCCATGCCTATGCCAGTCATATTTTTCGTTTTCTCGACTACGCTACACCATGGCTCATTCGATTACGAGACCTTGACTAAGAGTGCTAGTCTGTGTCTGTATGAACCCATGTGGCCCATGAATCCATGATTCTATCGTTGATTGTCTATCATTTTGAAAAAGTCAACGACTATCACCTGCCTAGACTGTTGGCAATATTCCGAGCACTCCCACTCTAGGACTCTAGGTGGGGATTACAGTCGCCTATTGTAAGGTCCTCAAGGCCTTAGTTGTCATTCCGGCACAAACTGACTTGGCTGCTACTCCTCCGGTACAACTGCTCACCGGAGTCTTGAACTCGTCACTATGGCAACAGATATGACTACGTAGACTACGTGTGGGTTTTGAATTTAGGGTTTCGGGTTTGGGATTTCATTTTTCGGGCTTAGGAACGTGTCAGGACGGATCCTAAATCTTTCCAAAACCTTCCCCTTGAGCATGCTTTGAGCCAAGAATTTGGGTTTGGGGTTGGAGACTTCCTTCGTCAGGATTTTAGGGCCGTGTTGACAAAAGAAAAGTCAGAGTAGAGAGAGTGGAGAGAGAGAGAGAGAGAGAGAGAACAGAAGACGACAACCAGAGAAGGAGAGAGCAAGAGAGAGAAAGAGAGAGAGAAGGAGACGGAAAGGGGGAGAGGAAAGGAAAGAAAAGGGACTTCCCCCACACCCACTCCACGCGGCCCACAAAAACCGAAGGCACGGACAGCATGAGCGAAACACACTGTTTCAAGGGAGGAATGCTTGCAGGTAGCACATGAATTCAAACCTTCTCTCTTCGCTACACAGGTGAGACCTCGCTACAATGTACCAGGGGGGGCAAGGCAAGTGCTACTTATCATTATCACAATTACCATCCAAACTCCCGGCCTCCGCAAACGAGATCCGCACTGCGTTGGGCATCGCTTTGACAGCTTCTGGCATGAGGCTCTTCAGCTGGGACATGTGGGTGATGAACTCTTTACAAAGAGTTTGCTTCTTTGACCCCCCAAGTGCTGAGGACAAGAAAGCCTTGGCCGCCTTTGTCGCAGAACGAATCGCCTCGAGCATAGCCGCCTTGTCTTTGATTTTGTTCTGCACCTCGTACAAGTGGTGGTCATTGGCCTCCTTCAGTTTGCGCTGGAGATTCCGGTCGGTCTTGCCCAAATCCTGTCCGAAGCTTTTGCTGTCAAGGAAAGTAGGGAGCTGCGCGATGAGTTGATCGAATTCTTGTTCCAATTTGACAACCTCATCTTGCATCACTTCCTCTGCTGTCTTCCTCCGCTTTTTGCCAGCAGCCTTGGCTGTGGCCTCTGCTGGTTTCGGCTTCAAGCCGAGCTCCGCCGCCTCACGATCTTCAGCCTCCTGGTCCACCTGGCCAGCGGCCGAGCCGATGCTGGTTACACCAAGAACGGAAGCTGCGTCCGAGCCACCCTTTGCATCTCTTGGAGGGGCTGGGGGGGGGGCGTGTGTCTTGTCGTCTGGAATGTCCTTGATCTCACCCATCTCAGTGCGCAACATGAGGGATCCACGGGAGCGATACCGCCGGGAATGCTGATCTGGAAGGATCCTCGACATGTATACTGATGCGATGCAATGATGACCACAAAAGGTCCAGGTCCAAGCACAAGCACTATACCGAATTATACGGTCCCTGGCATTCCCTGGTGCGGTTCGGACATCGGTCGTACCCACTTTTTGCATGTCCGGCCCGGCCCAAACCTCAATCGGACAGGCCCACCAATCCCCCCCAACCCAACCAACGGACCCACAGGCTCACCGGTCTGCCCCTCCTGAGTGCCAGTCGCCCTCCCTGGATCTTAAACAGACCCACCCCAAAACCAAACCCCGAAACCTACCACATCAGCACTGACTTAGCCTAAACTCATGGGCACAGCAGATCTTCATCATTCTGGAGATTACTCAGAACAATGAGCTCAGTGGCTCAGTGATGATACTGATACTTATATCGTGGAAACGGTAACAGCAGTATTTGGCCGAGCAACGGCAGCATGCCCGAGTCCAGTACCTTTCGATGAACCACGCGCTGGACTTCCTCTACATCCACCTCCCAAACGTCCTTCGGCCCGCTCCATACCTGAGCTGAGCAGCCTGCACATCCGTCAGTCGAGCCCGCACGCGGGTTATGCAGCTATGCGGCTATGCAGTTATGCAGGCATCTTTCTCTTCTCCACTGAAAACTTCTGCAACGCACTGGGTCAAACCTAACGACTGTGCCAAGTCCATGACACATACCGAAATCACCGCAATCCGCAATCATGAAAACTATGTCTGTTGGGATGATGGCATGCCAACTCTCTGCCGAAGTGCTTTGACCCCGTGAACCTGCTTACCCTCCGGAGTTGTAAGCTGCTGCAGCTTCAGCCCATCTTCAGCCGGTTCTCGACCATGGTGGCTGGCTTTGTAGGACTCTTTGGTGTAAATCAGCATCTTGCCAAGGGGCTTCATCCGTGTGATCACTTCCCGGTCTTGATATACCCGCCTCAGGTTGGGCCGACTTCGTTCAACACAACTCACTTGCACCCACCCACTAAAGTAGACTGCACCACGTCACTACACCATCATCCTGAATCATCCTAGCCTATTCTGCACAAGATCTGTCTGCCAAGCTCGTACGCAAGACTTGCAATCGAAGCTGCCCTGTGACATCAGCGCTGAAGTCTGCGGGGACTTTGCCACTCACCAATAAAGAGATTACCTTGTTGCGTCTCTCCAGGAAGAGTGTCTTTTCACCTGGATTTTTGAGAAGGAACTCCTGCAAGTCCTGAGATCAAGAAGTTTCCCACTTTCAGTTACACAGCACGATAACGAAGACAATGAATTCATGAACTGCCTTTGTAGATCCTTATACTTTCCATGAGCTCGAGAAACAGATGCCTGATATTTCGCTGCTGACTGGCACAAACGTCACACAACCGATGGTGCAGGATGAAACGTTTACAACTTTTGAAGGGCTGAACTACAGATAAGACTCCGACCACAGCATTTCACCGTACAGCAGCACATGCGTCATGTGGCAGTAACCGTCTTTACCCCTTCTGGGGAAGGAAAGCCGAGTCCCGCCACGTACAGGATCCGGATCGATTGAGGTTGATTCGCAAAGGGGGCACTTGTCGAAGCGATCGCTGGCGGCTGTTGCATCGTCATCTGAAGCACCAGCCATCTCCGCATCTACATCATCTAGGAGGAACTCCTGCAGAGAAGCGTCCAGCCTGGGATTGCCCATTCGATGGTATGTGGGGGTTTGAGGTCAAAGACAAAGGGCTCCGATTCGATTGCTTCACTTGTTGCTTGCTTCTCATACTGTGGCAAGCCAAGTCTCATTGGTGTGTCAAAACCTGCCATCTTTTGAACCACCGCTCCACGGAAGCAAAACTCAGTCGAGTCAAAACCAAATCCTTCGAGCCACAAGCCGGACGAGTGAGCAATTGCTTGCCAGCAGATGTACAATGAAAACACAATCAATCACATATTCTCGAGAACCAACAGCATGCAGCGTGCACTGACACTATAGCCTATAGCTTGATTTGCGGATGCACACGCACAGCTTGCTGACTGCCAGTGGCATATCTCCGACGCCACGACAAAATCATAATACTGTACTTGTGAAGCTCTGGAAACTGGAACTGGAACCCTGATAGCCCAGATAACCTCTAAGATTAAGACTTAATCGGTTGTGGTAGTTCCAGCAGCACCTGAGCAACACGGATAACTCACAGCTCTACCAGTCTACCAGCAGTTTTTCCGGCAGCTGTCGTGGAAGCAAAATTTGGAGTCCATGGCGAAGCAGTAAGCTTCCGCCTCTTTCGAACTCGGGAACCCCACACAAGGAAGTTCCGGGTGATTTTGGGTTGTTTCCCGGTAAATCTGCTTCGTGTTCGTCCACCACATGTCTCCCTGCACGCTTGGATATACCCAGACAGCACTTTGCAAGTCAACTGACTTGGGCTTCGTCAAGGCTTGGGCGCAGCAGCTCAGCTCGCGTCCGTGGGTCCTACCCAGCACAAAGGCCCTTTCAATGCGAGCCGTCGGGCTCATTGAAGCTTTCTTCGCAGTCAAGGTGGATGCGAGCTTCTTCAGCTTCTGTTGTGTCCTAGGACTCGGCTGATTCTCATCCCCCAACCAAAGCGCAGATGTGCTGTCGGCTCCTGCACTGATCAGTGGGTCCGAGTCCACATGCACCTTAACGACATCGTTAGCGGCACTGTCGCTCTCATGTTCTGGAGGGCCTGAGCAGGCATCAGGCTCCGCTACCTCCACTAGCGTCGTGATCTTCAATTTGCCCACTTGTTGCACGGTCTTGCTGAGCAACTGCTGTCCAGGGTTTTGTTCCATGGCACCTGGAATGCAGCTATGAGTTCAGCTACGGCTAGGACGGATACGAAAGACCAGACCTACTAAAAGATGCGCTGCAAGGCAAGAGTCGAGTCATTGCGACACAACATATGGGCGTTCCAGATTGCTCAAGTGACTCAAGTGCGCCAATCGTGCACGAGGAACAACATCAGACTCATGACTCATGACTGAATCATCACATCCTCTTGTTGCACAGGCAGTGGAGCATGGTCTCATCGGCCTAGCCTAGCACGGTGCATGGCCCCATGGGATCGAACAATGGACCCGCCCGCAAAGCTTGATCGGAAAGCACTCACCCTTATATCTACCCGGACATTTGCCTACAGTGGCGCTGCCGCTGGTCCTTTCATGCTGGCGGGTCCATGCAGTCAAAATCTACCATCACATATGAATTTGCGTCCAATGCGACAACAGGACAGACGGTTCTCTAGTCTGCACGTCTGTCTGTATTGTAGACTGTGACTGTAAGATTGTATGTTCCATCACGCAGTTTGCAGTTTGCATCTGTTCTGAACACGCCCAGGCTCTCACAAGATGAACATGTTTCACAGTTTCACATGATTTAACGAAGCATGTTTCGGTTTAGTTTAGGGTTTGGGGTTCAAGCATTGAGGCCGGATGCTCATACATACTGGGAACCAGTATAATAAATTCATCAAGAATACAAGAGTGGACGCTCGACATTGCCTGAGCGACTATGGGAAACGAAAGCCGGAGTTCGTCTACTTGGATAACCAGGATATCCGGTATTCGTTGGACTCGAACTGACATCTGAACATCCCACCGTCTCTTAACTGCAACTCGACATGCATCAAAACTGAAGACTGAAGGCCTACAGACAACGAACTTCACTTCACATATAGAAAAAACTATATATAATATATAAAATAATAATATAAGTAATATAATAGTAATATCATTAATAGTGAACTCGCCTAACCTTGCCCTAAACCCTGCCCTTGCGCCGGCTTCCAGCCCACAGCTGCTGCACTAATTTCAAGAGGCAGAGTCTACCAACCATCCGCCGATGTCAATCTGGCACGGCAGTTGCGCTGACTAGAGCATCCAAAAGCTTATGTGTATATCTGTATATCATCTGTATACTGTATACAACTGTATACTCTATTACATATACTATTACATTATCATATATACAAGAAATTCACGTAATTGCATAATGTACATCTGTACATCATCCGCGTTGTGTGGACGAACGTCTTATACCATTATATCATATAGTGACAGTCATGAGTCATACAGTCATACATAGTAAAAGTTTTATCAAAGATTCTATAAGTCTACGAGTCTATAATATAAGTAGGTACTGTAACCGTGTATGCATTATATTAATATATGACAATGACTCATGACTGTATTAAATTCAAACGATTATAATCATGTCTATGTACTGACGTCGACGCATCTATGTGAGTGTGACCGTGGCAATGTGAGTATCAGGAGAAGCATGGTTGTACACTAGAGGTTTAGTCCGCCAATACTCATAAGATTACGAAACACATCAGCATGAGATTGGCAAGAGGCTCTCTCTCTCTCTCGCTCACTGAAAGTAGCTGGCATCCAGCGAGGCTACGGCACAAACTGCGCCCTGAATGAAGTTGTGAAAACTGACGGCATTACCGCTGAGCAGTCTCAGCGCCGACTCAGGCGTCTGCAGCATGACATTCTTGTGTCTACCAGTGAGGATGCCTTGCAAAGACATTCGTTCGATGCCTACTACCAGGCGTCTACGCACCCTCAGCCAGTGTTTCGACGACGTCGTTATGCATGACACACGAGCGACAATCACTGGAGCTCGATGGATGCTTTGGGACCTCGTGAATCACAGAAAAGGGGCTTCATCAGGATTCGTTTATGTAGGCCAGGTTAACAGTTTAACTGCCTCAATGCAGATTTGAAAATGAACACTGCGAGCACTCCGTTCAATCGAGTGTCAGGTCGATCGTCATTTCGCTGTCGTTGGCATGCACTGGGTCGACCACATCATGAAATGCAATGATCTGCTGTTCTCGCAAGGACAAACTCTGAAAGAAGTCATTGGAGGAATATGATTTCATCGCCGCCTCCACTGCCTCCATTGTCACCTCTATCGGCACACACACACACAGACGTGGGCCACATTGGCCTATCCTATCGCTATTGTCAATGGTATAGTTATAGAACATCAATCAAGAATGCAATCG